TCTTCACTCTCTTAGGACGCGTTTTCAGTATCTGTCTCCTCATCACTGATTTGCTTTATAATCGGTTTCCCCCATCTCTTACAACAGCGGCCCATCAGCACAGCCTGGAGAGGGAGAGGGATGGCAGCGCTGGGGCTTCTCCCCGGCCCTGGCATGGGAGCCGCTTCCCATCCGTGCCTGGGTGTCAGACCCAACCTTCCTCCCGCCTTCACCTCCCCGGGGTTATTTCAGACCCTGGAGGAGCCGTTTCCCCCCCTCAGAGGACGGGCAGCACCCTGTGCCCCCGTGGGACCCCACCTGTGCCAGGGGTCTGATCCTGCTGTTCCCTCTGCTTTGGTGGAGACCTGTCGAAATCAGTGGGGGTGAAGGGTGTTTCACCTGGACCGGAGGAAACGGGGCTTCACCCCCCGGCTGTGCCTGGGGTGCTGAACCTGTCCTGCTGTTCCGCAGCAGCCCGCTGGCGCTGATGCTGACGGTTGTCCTGGTGTTCGCCGGCCTCTTCTACATCATCTTCTTCGTAAGCGGAGTGAGCTACTTCCAGGACCCCCTTTTCTGCGGTGAGTGCCCTCCGGGGTGTGGGGACTGATCGCGTGCCGGGGCGGGGAGTGGAGGTTTGGGATTTGGGGAGAGCCATGGGACCTGCTCAGAGCTGGCTCGCTCTCCCGCAGTGTTTGTGGTGTTCTCCTTCACCTCCATCGTCGACTTGATCATCTCGCTGGAGGAAGATGGCTACATTTCTGGCTTCATGGAGGTCTACGTCAGAGAGGTACCACCTCTCCCCGCCTCGGGCTCTCACACATGAGCAGCCCTGTGCACCCACACCCACATCACGGATGCTGCTCCTGCTCCCAAAGCTGCTCACGTTGCGGGGGGAGCATGCACGGAGCAGCCCCGGCTCCCGTGGGGTCCCCTGGGGAGGGGGTGTGGGAAGGCACTTGCCCTCACCCCATATGATCTGCTATCTTCCGACCGGGCAGGGCGAGCCCTACCTGCGCACGGCGCACGGCATCATGATCTGTTATTGGGACGGCATCATCCACTATGGGCTCTACCTCGCCATGATTGCGGCCATCAGCCAGAGGTGAGCGGGGACAGCGGCAGGAAGGCAAGGTGGCTCCCGTGGCCACGTGGCATCTTCACTGATCAGGAGCTTGGAGGGGCTTGCGGGGGTTGGAGGATCCCGAATTTTGTGGGGAGGGGAGCTCTGAGCCTGGCAGAGGTGTCTGATCCCGATGTCTCCGCAGAAAGAGCTACAGGAACCTGGGTCTCTTCTGGCTGGGCTCCCTGATGATGAGCATCGTCGTCTTCCTGCTTGGGAACCTGATAGGTACAGGGGTGCGGAGGGGGGCTCAGCTCCACGTCCAGCCCTTGCCGATCCCTCCAGGCTGCCTCCATCCCCCCATCTGTCCGGCGGGTTTGCTCCCAGGCACTTGCCCTGTGGGCAGAGCAGGGAGGTGCTGACCTGGGGACAAGCAATGGGTACCGGTCCTGGGTGCCGAGCGCTCTGCCGTGCCTACCCCGTGCTCTCCTTCCCCAGGGAAATACAGCTCCGACCTCAGCCCTGCCTTCCTGCTCAACCTGCCCTACGTCCTCATCCCCATCTGGGCTGGGGTGAAGCTCTTCCAGCAGCCCAAGGCTCTGCCATGCCACAGCCCCGAGAAGGTGAGCTGGGGACCGGAGCCAGGGCAGGAGCTCTGCGGGAGCTGCACCGGGAGCCGACAGCCTTATCCCCCTCCCGGGGCTGGACCACAGGGTGCGGAGCCGAAAATACGGTGTTTTCCTCCTCCCAGGTTGCAGAGGAGCAATGCAAGCGCCTGTACCAGCGGCCGCAGGACATGGGGCTGGTCCTGCTCCTGCTCCTCACCGCCGCTTTCACCTTCTTCAGGGGGATGGTGAGTACTGGGTTCCCACACGGGGATCCCGGAGGGGATGTGAGGGTCCTGGGGTGGGTGCATCTGCCCTGTGCCCACCTCCCCTCCGCTCTTCGCATCTCCAGGTGGTTTTGGACTGTCCTGCCGATTCATGCTTTGAGTACATCTATCAGCACGAGCCGTACCTGCGTGACCCAGTTGCCTACCCCAAAGTGCAGGTGAGTGGGGTCGAGGTGGGGCTGGAGCCTCCCGTTTGCCACCAGGGACGGGGTGACCCTCTCTGTGTCCCACCCCAGATGCTGATCTACATGTTCTACGTCCTCCCCTTCTTCTGCCTCTGCATCTACGGGCTGGTGCTGCCCGGCTGCTCCTGGCTGCCCGACTGGAGCCTGGTGTTTGCCGGTGCCGTCGCGCAGGTGAGGGCTGCTCCGTTGTCCTTCCCCTGGCTGCGTGGGGGGGACACGGTGGGACCCCCGGGCTGGGTTTTGGTCCCAGCCAGGAGAAAGCAAGCGAGGAACCGGGGCTGAACCTGGGGGGACCGAGCTGCACCCTCGGCTGCATGTGGAGCAGTTCCCACCGCCGCTGCCCGATAATTACTTTGGCCTCGGTGGATCTTAATGGAGCCGGGGATGAGTTTGACAGAAATAGGCTGGAGCGAACCCGCAGGTCTATAGATAGGACACGCAGGCTGTGCTCCTGC